ATTTCTTCTACTGTGAGTTCTGAGCAGTCTGGAAGGCATTGCATTGTGTGCCTACCTGATGTACAGACTCCAGCGTATTCTTCAGAGACGACAAAAGAGTAGGCAGTGACATGGGGTAGTGCTTAAAGACTGCTACTCCAAGTATAGCCAACCTTGTATCAAGTGGCAGTCTCCATAACAACAAACAAGGCCCCTGATAATAGCAGAGCATCTGCCACACACTGCAGGAATGCCACATCTCTCTGACACCCAGAGGTGATGTACCAGGTACCAGGAACAGAGGATGCAGGAGGAGGTACCTGCTAAAGGCAGGCAAGGGGCAACCTTGAACCTGTTCCGTTGGCTGGCTGCAGCCTATGGAATCCTCCAGAAAGGCTGCTAGGAACATTCTCAGTGACCCGTGAAACATAGTCCAGCACCATTGGCTTCCATTACAGGGGGAAGCCAGGCGCTTCACAGGAGTCAAATGTGCAGTTGCTTTATGTAGTTTTCATTTTAAGTTAATTTTCACTGTAAATTCCCAATTTGTAGGATTTGATCAAATCATGGTAATAATCAGGCTAGGAAATATTTATGTTTAAATTTTGTAGATGAAGGCTAAATTTGAACATCCAAATACAACTTGGTTACACTAACTACTTTGGCAATACAATGATCTGATTTGGTTTTCTCCTTAGTGTTACTAAGATGGAGGAGTAGAATATCCTTTAATTGGAAACAAAATAGTTGGAATGTAGGATGAATTCTTTTGCCCAGAGTGTCAAAGGTTAGCATAGCAAGAACACTGCCAGCTATTTCAAGGGGAATGAAGGGAGGGACTTGAAGGAAAGGCCTGCACAGACACAGCCTCTGGAAGACTAACCAGGCCTTTGCCAGGCTCCAGTAGAGCTGGGGAGCCAGGTGCACCCCTCCTCTGGGAAGGCAGAATGTACGGAGTCTTCAAATTCGGATGGGGCTTAAACGCATGGAGCTGGAAGCCCTGGGTCACGGTGACACTGGGCACCTATGTGCAACTCTCAAATGGTGATCAGGCTGGCACCTTCTGACATTTACACCTCGAATCCCTGGACCTGAAATAGTTGTAAAATTACCATGCAATTCACAGTCAAGGAGCAGCGCTCCCTCCAGCTGAAAGCTGTTCACAATTTGATTTGGCTGAATTTGGGAGAAAGGAAGGGAAATCCAAGACTCAGAGGGTGTCTCATTACTTTAAAGAACACCTCTTAAACCTTTCTGAAGATAACTTTTCCAGAGCAAATGAAGATTAAAGCTCCCTAGTCGATGTCCTCAGATACACACTGTAAAAGCAGAGGCAGCTGCAGCCCGGGCAGACTCCAGACACCACTACATGAGTGGCAACTGGTGGGAATGCAGACTCAGAAATAGTTACCTGCCAAAGGCAGTGCTGCTCATTCCAGCAAATTGAGGCCAGGCCCTTGGTTTTAGCAGTTAGGGACACATGTTAGAAAGTGTTCCAGGGTGGTCAGTGTAAGGTGCTTTTCTCAGGAAGACACAAGTGAAGTAGAAGGCTATGGAGATCAAACCTATTTCTGCCCTCTTCCTCCCAAATTCATCATTAATAATTAACGTTAATTACATAATTCCCTTCTATTTGCAGAAGTGAGTCCCTGAGGCCCTCTCTCCCCGTAAACACTTTGCAAGGGTGATTATTACGTGTGCTTGCTTGAAGGTAGGAAGTGCTATTTCATAGACTATGCTGTAATTAAACACTTCTACACATTTAGCTTAGTTTCATCTTATTTGAATACTTAATCATTCACTTTTAAAGCATCGTGATGCATTTCTAACACCCCTTCCCTCCTGTATCCCAAAGGAATTATTTTCCTAATCTTCTTCATAGTTCTTCCTTGTAAGTTTTAAATTTTAATTAACTGATTTTTTTTTTTTTTTTTGAGTCACAGAGTCACTGTACCCTGAGCTGAGCTTGAAGTTGCAGCACTTCTCCTGCCCTGGCTCCTGAGTGCTGGGATTACAGCTGTCAATCACCATGTTTGGCAGGGTCCTTGGTATTTCTGATACTTTTCCATTCCTAAAGTTCCTCTTTGTTCTTGGAGGCAAGAGGTTAGCCTTTTATCTCCCTCCCCTCACAGAATAAGTGCACAGTGAAGCAGGAGCCTAACTGAGGCTGGTGGCCATGGAGTGGCCTCTGCAATCACTCAGCCTGGTCCTACTTGTGGGGATGAAGGGGCACACAGCAGTCTGTCAAAGTCTGCTTTTCTGACCTGCAAAGTGATGACAGGCTCACTCAGAACAGACTGAAGTCATTTCATGGAGAGGGAGTGAGCACCTGGGCTGTCACTGCACGGAGAGGGAGTGAGCACCTGGGCTGTCACTGCACGGAGAGGGAGTGAGCACCTGGGCTGTCACTGCACGGAGAGGGAGTGAGCACCTGGGCTGTCACTGCACGGAGAGGGAGTGAGCACCTGGGCTGTCACTGCACGGAGAGGGAGTGAGCACCTGGGCTGTCACTGCACGGAGAGGGAGTGAGCACCTGGGCTGTCACTGCACGGAGAGGGAGTGAGCACCTGGGCTGTCACTGCATGGAGAGGGAGTGAGCACCTGGGCTGTCACTGCATGGAGAGGGAGTGAGCACCTGGGCTGTCACTGCATGGAGAGGGAGTGAGCACCTGGGCTGTC